TGCTTACGAGCTTTGCTTAAAGTACGACTTCAACACAACCCAAGACCACTGACTGGCAACTTGTGGCCAAGAAGAAGACCCTAGCACCCACTCCTAAGAACTCCCTGAGCACCAGGCAGCTTGTTCTGGTCCAAGAGCACCCAGCCTCTTTCAACTCTCTTGAATTGAGGAATGCCTTCAACTAGGCCTTTGCCAACAAAGGAGTCAGCAGCCTTGTCATTGCATCAGTCACTTCCAGTGCCAGACAGAACATGGTCCTCACCACCACACCCACCTTTACTGCCAAGTACCTGCTTGAGAAACAAGACATCTGGAAGACCATCACCCATTTCAAGGAAGCCCTCCCTATCCAGCCCTGGCACAAGGTTGTCCTTGCTCAGTACAGCTGGAGGATTGGCAAGAGACTGAGGATTCCCCCAGGGACCAGGACAGAGACTGCCAGTGCCTTCTATCAGCTGAAGCTTGGCCATGGATACAACAAGGCCTACCTGTTCAGGATTGGCAAGACTGACCACCCCTTCTGTAGTTGTGGAGCCAAGCAGACTCTTGAGCACCTGCTCCTGAGCTGCAAGTGGCTGAACACAGGCCGGAAAATCCTGCAGGATAGTCTTGGGAAGGTACAGCTGACTCTCCCTCTCCTCCTCCACACCAAGCAAGGCATCAAGGCCACTTTGGACTTCATCAGCAGGACCAAGGTTGGCACAAGGAGGTGGCATCTTGGGCAGCCTTCAGAAGACCAGGCATAGTGATGCTACAACAGCTTCTCTTTCCTTTGTTTGTTTGTTTGTACTTCTTTTGTTTCCTGCTGTTACGATCCATGAACAACTCGCAATATCTGTTATACAAACCGAGATTGTACAAACAGGACTGCAGTGGATACAACGTGGATCTTGTACACAAACGATCATCACAGACCCATATACCGACCCACTTGCAGAGGACCCATGTGTTGAAGTTGTACTTTAAGCAAAGCTCGTAAGCACTATTCAATTGGTTCTCGAGGATGAACTCTGGCTCTGGAACAGTAGGGGTAAGTCGCCTGGGTGAAACACCTAACAACGGCTTGGGGTAACAATGAGTAGTACAGGCAATCTGTCTAGCTCGAAGGTTGGTTGAGATCCAATGACAAACTTAATTGACGAGGTTGAACACAAACCATAAGGGTTGT